CGAGACTATTGAATTCTTTGAATATGCTAAAGATAATTTCAAGCTAATTCTAAAGAGAGTGACAAGGAAATCCAGCGATAAATACCAAGGGGATCGAATTTCAAAAGAATTCTGAGAAGTGTTTAATGAAAATTCCGAGAATAATTCCAATGGCATCTCGTGAAGAATGTCTAGATAATTCTAAGTGAATTTAGAGGAGAGCTATAGGATAATTGTGAGCAGAGTTGCAAGACAATTCTGATGTAAGCTGCATGGAAGTTCTAAGGAGGATTCAGGCTGAATTCAAATATAATTATGAAAGGAATTTTCTGTGAATTCATTCAAAGCTAATCTAGAACACTACGTTGAGAGCACGCAATAGGCTAATATGCGATAAGCAATAAGCTTGAAATGCGAAGAATAGAAAAGACAGGGAGGGGGAGGCGTAGTTTAGAATTTGTTACAAGTTGTTATTAGGGATGGGGGTGTTGAAATGGGTTGTTACGTATGATAAAATGAAAAAAATACAATTTTTATAGGTGATTTTTTGTTGTTACAGGCGACAAGGGGTAGGAGGGTGAGTGAAAATTGTTACGATTCGTTATAGGGGGTGGGTGTTTTATAAAAAAATCATTACGTAATCTTTGAACGGGTCCCAAGTGGGAAATAATATTGTAGTCTCACTGGAAATCGGTCAATACTGCCAAATTATCACAAGAATATAAATCTTTCTGTACAAATTTGTGGTCCTGAGGCTCTATCTCCTATCGTTGAAGATACTGCTGCTGCTAGTTGCTCACTACATTGTCCGATGCGAAAATGAGCTTCGGTACCACGACATCGTTCTTCACTTCAAGCTCATCCCACACCTGCCCGATATCATCCGAGCAACTTTCTACAAATGAGAGAGTGTGTATATATATATATATATATATATATATATATATATATATATATATATATATATATATATAGAAAATCGCCAGTCGGATCGGATGATATCGGGTAGGTGCAGATTGAGCTTAATTCCAAAACAGCGCGTTGAAGAAGTGAGTCTCCTTCCAGCGGTGGGGTGGTTGTCAAGGTGATCCACTCATTACGCCACTCAGATTTTCTGCACGACGGCAGCTGGCTACCTTAAGCGAGCAGCTCAACACGCCGTCTAATGCGAAAATGAGTGGTGGCGCTACAACAGCGATCTTTTATAGCTTTACAAGTTCAAGCAGAACGATGCGCAACCAAATGGTACTCGATTATGACAACTGGGTTAGGAAAACGATTATTTCATGAAAACAGTACATTTTTCAAAACTTTTAAATAGAAAATTAGAAAAGTATTTATTTCAGCAGACTCTTAGAGTTATTTCCTATCGATTGCTGTATTTGAATTTCAATTTCATCTATAAATGACAAAGTTATAAGCGTTCAAAACCTAACCCCTTTTCAATTAACCCCCGTACCTTCACGCAAGCCGTAGTCTACGTCAAAAAAGGTTTAGTTCAATTTTGGGGTTTACAAATATTTTTTCCAATATACCTATATAATATATTTTTTTAAAGCCCACACACTTTGCATCGGAAATTTGGTATAGGACGAAAAATCAATTTGAAATAGTGATTACGTATGACAAGGTTTATTTAATTAAGCGAAAATTGGGCAAAATGAACCACTTCCTCTGATCTTAAAAATGTACATAAGATAAGCTATATTGAAGAGCTCCTTTAATTACGTGGGATTTTGGGTCTTCTCCTCAGTTATGTGACGTTGTATATTCTGTGGCAAGCACAATGAGAGAAGTTGAGAAAATATCCATCTAGAAAGATAACCTCGACTGGACCGGAAATCCTTGGTCATACTGTGCCTTTACCGAATATGCTATCTGAGGCCCCTTTCCCTTCATGAATGAATTCATTTGATTCATGAAAAGAATATTTAGAGGTAAAGGTTGTCCCACATCAAATTGCATCACGAAAAAAACGTTGTAGAAAATTACCAAGTTGACCGATCCTTTTCAAACTTTCAGACAATAAAATATAACCCATTAGTAAGCTTTTGGCATATTTATTTCATTCAACTTCAATACCATAACCGTACGCTCGCAGCTTACGCTTAACTCCACTCATTAGGTTCTGTACACCATCTAGCTCCAGCTTCTTCTGTACGGAAACCCACTTTTTCTTCATGTCTTCCTCAGATTTGACCTCCTTGGGGTGCTTCCGTAGTGCCTGCTTCATAATAGCCCAGTATTTTTCGATGGGCCGTAGTTTTGCTTCGTACCACTCCAGGACAACATTTGAATAGTGGCGAGAAGCTAGATCCGGCCAGAAGATCGTAGGGCCTCGTGATGCTTCAACAGAGGAAGCAGACGCTTCTGTAGACACTCCTTGAGGTAGATCGCTCCGTTTACAGTCCCGGTAGTCAAAAACGAAGCACTCCGTTTGCCACATGAGCACATCGCTTGCCAAATCATGTATTTCTTGGCAAACTTTGAAAGTTTTTGCTTCCTTACTTCCTCTCCGGAACATCAAACTTGTGCTGGGCGGTGAAGACCAGTAGCCCCGGAAGCTGCCGGAAGTCCGCCTTGACGTAAGTCTCATCATCCTTGATGAGACAATGAGGCTTCATCAGCATCTGGGTATACAGTTTCCGGGCCCGTGACTTTCCCACTGTATTTTTCCGTTCGTCACGATTTGTAGCCTTCTGCACTTTGTAGATAAGCAGTCCCTCCCGATCCTTGGCTCTCTGAACGGAAGACTTGTAAAGATTCAACTTTTTGGCCACATCCCTGACCGAAGCATTGAGATTCCGGTTAAACGCTTTCACGACACGCTTGTGATCCTGATCACTAATAGAATATGCATTCTGACCGCATTTCTGCTTCAGTTCGATGCTCAAAGTTTCGTAGTAACGTTTAATCACACGACTCACCGTTGACTGCACGATTCCAAGTTGTTTTTCGATGTCCCGATGAGAGAGTTGAGGATTTTCCAGGTGCTTGCGCAAAATCAATTCGCGACGTTGCTTTTCGGGTGACGCCATTTTTTCCAACATTCGAAAAACTGACAGCGATAAAAATACTCTGTAACGATACACTCTAAACAACTTCTACCCAAATTTTCGCGAGAAAATACCCAATGGGTAATTTTCTACAGCGTTTTTTCCGTGATGTAATTTTATGTAGTTCAGAATTCTCTTGTAATTGGTCACATTGAAAGATTCAGTATTCAGCACTGTTGCTTATAAGGCCAAAATGATTAAGCTGGTGGACAGTTTATTTCGGGGATATAACTCTCGTATTATGCTCTATTCCAACTAAATAAAATATTGCCATTTTCTGCCATGTAGCTCAAACGACTATGGCCCAAGTGACGGTGCTGCCTTTCTATGCAATCCACCATAAGCGGAGATCTACAGAGCCGTATAATATCGAATAAATTACCCCAACAGAACGCACCGCGCCAACCGAATCCAAAGGTTAATCAATCATCGATTGATTGATTAAACCGAAAATTGCCACATGGCGCCCTTTTCTCTCGATACGATGCTAGCGATATTTGCTGCAGCTGTCACCGCACTAGTGAAGCGCGGGAGAGCAGCAAAGCGGTCGAAGCCCAGTGTCATGTTTTCATTGCGCGAAATAACAACCGAAAATCCACAACGGCAGAATTTCGGGAAAGAAGAAACGATTTTCGCCAAAATAAAAATAAAAGAACACAGAAAGAGAAATTAAATACCGCCCGTGTGCAACACACCGGGTTTGGTTTACGACAAAGAAAAATCGTGTAACAATTTTCCGCAATTTTCCTAGTCGTCGTACACGGAAGAGGTGAGCACAGAAGAAGCGAAATCATGTTTACGTTGGGTTGGAGAAAAAATAGAATGAAGAAGAAAGATGACAAAGTCACACGAGCCGTTCGTCGACTCTCGTTTTCGGCGTGTGGAGTCACCCACTGCCTACCGTGCATATAGTTATATGAATTATTTTTGGCTTGATTAACGAGCGATGACACTGTGAAAAATTCAGATGAAAAATTACGCTCAGGTCATTCGCAGTTTGGGAGGGAAATGTTCACCAGTGCACACCTTCTATTACTAAACCGCGAACGACAACCAAAGACCAGAAGTGTGGCTTTTTAATCCGCTCGCGTGATGACGAAGTGGAAAATGTTGGTACAATGCCAACGGGAGTTTCTGAATGCGAAATAAATGAATGCGTCATCACGTGATAAGACTACATATAATGTTGCATATGCGTGTGGCTGACAAGCGACAAATGGAAGGATCGGCGAATAATAAGATGAAGACATCGTTTCACAGATTTATCCCAATGCACGAGATGCCTGAAATTAGCCTTAGGAGTCTGTTAAAAATTCATCCCCCAAACATATGCTTTTTCCCTTGGTCGGATGTTAAAGATAATAAGCGTGGGTGGGTGGGTGGTTGAAAGTGCCACCCCTGGGATGCTTCAACAACGACACCGGTTCATTGCTGCTCGAAATTGTACATCATTAGTCTCGGCAGCCGCCCTGAGTGAAGATTTATATCGTTTCCCTCGATTCTGAAACGCTGAGACGGCCGCCGACACAAGAGTCTTGTAAATGGTCCACTTTGGCAGCTCTTGTTCCATTTCTTACGGCAAGCTCCACTCGCCCCATTTTTCGCCAGCAATTCGACCTTCGGTCGTCGTTTTAGCTACTATATAGCGTGCGCAAGCGGAGGATTGCACTGATCCCTCATCTCGTTGCACGTTGATTTGTCTTGGTCTTGGCTGATTTAGTGGTTCGTTTTCGATTCATTGAGTACGTACCTCTCCTCTCGGTCACTGGTGACAGGTGCGGGGTAAATCTGAAAAGAGAACACGAAAAAGCGGATCGTTATTCACAACTGACGTGAGATTTGCGAGCATGATGATTTAGGGATTTATCACTCGGAGGGACCCCTTTGGAATTGAGAGCTCGCTGATGATGTACGGAAGGAGTATGATTACTAAATATCTATTTCCATTTCTCTTTACCATTCCAGCCGGCTACCTCGGAAGCTTCCTCTCCAACAGCCTCAAAACCAACCAGCTGGAGGTGAACACCGACTCGAAAACGCTCCGCCCGATCGCTCGCCTCAAGGAACCGCGGGAACTTTTCGCACTGCCGAAGGAACGGGACTATGACTGCCCACAGCAAGCCCCCAGATGGCCGATCGAGTGTCAGGTAAAAAATTTGGCACATTGCTCTCTCGGCTCTAAATGTGAATCAAAATATAGTCAATGTCCCGTTTAGTAAACTAAAAGCAGCGAAACGGACGGCGCACCGACGACACCGTCGTCGAATGGTCCTCCATACATTTGTTTGTTTACGGTTCCCAGCTGACCGAAAGCCATAAAATCGACGGCGCGATAAATGCACAACACGATTCCGTATCCCACATAATCCAACAGCCCTAGATGTTCAGTTTTCCACTGAAGTCGTGTTTGTTTTGAAAAGTGAAATCCGGTCCCGTGTGCAATGAATCGAATGCTCTCCTGCTAGTCTCGTCGAAGAAACTACTGAGCACCGAGACGGGCGCCTGGTCGTGTGCGATTTTTTTTTTTTGGATTTCAATTGGTTGGCTGAAGGAAAATTAAATGTCATATGAGTGGTGTTTGTTTAATATTTTCTGACGGCTGTTGGCATTGGAGAATGTGGCGAGTACGGATGGACGATAAGCATCGTCCCCCAGCGCCGGAGCGTGAGTGGACGGAACAAACAGCTGGTCATTAATTAGGCGGATTTGTCGAACGGGACATTGTTGCGGTGGACTTTGATTGGATGAAGCGGGCGTTTTGTAATGTCAAATTTTGAAGTGCTGCTAATTTCGGTCAAGAATTGCCGCCGTTTACGATTGTGGTGTATACGGCCATTGAGTCGAATTAAGAAAAGTAAAAGTTTGAGCTTAGACTATTCGTTGAAACAATTCACAACACTCTGGATCTTTGGGAACTGAGGAAGATTTCTGTCTGAGACTTGACTTGATAATTGAACTACAAGAAAATTTCAGTATCTCATTCTAAAAAAATAAGTATCATGAACTTAACTCTAATGTTTAAGATCTCCGACTTGTTGAGTTTTCCTAAATTCTGATAAAATTGAGATGTAAGCGTAGAAAATTTAAGAACTAAAGCTTGGAACATTTTTCGAGATCTCACAAATTAAAATATTTTTAGCTAAGGAATTTTCGGCCAACGACGTTTTTTAGAGGCTGTGCGCCGATCAAAATATTTTCGGCGGCGGCGTGAGTTTATTTTTAATGATTTAGAAAAAAATACTTTCCAAACTAATCGAACATGGACAAAAAATGCTACCCACATTTGAGTTCAGATTACTCAAAATCGCTAAAACGTGAGTAAATTTTCCGACACTTTCCCGGGGAAAACTTCTATACACAGTTTAGAAGTGCACTAGTAGGCAGACTAAAACCACAATCAGTTTTCCTCGTCTTCAAGAAGTTTTCCTCGGAAAAGCGTCGAAAAATTTACTCATTCTACAGTACTGGACAAAGTAAATCATACACCCATATAATTTTTCTTTGGAGCTCGATATATCAGGTAGATTCAAACATACAATAATGGTTTGTTCTGCAAAACTTCTGTATGTTTTCGCTAAAACTGTGCAGGTATAGAATATTCAATATATTGTATGACTTTCTCAATCATCATTTATAAGTTGTAAAAGGAGAATTTCAAGTTGGACAAAATTCTTGTCTAATTCAACTTTCAACTTACATTTCAACACTCTCAGTATTTGGTATGACCACCCTTTGCTTTCAACACTGCTTCCAACCGTCTTGGCATACTTTCGACGAGGTTTTGTAGATATTCTGAATCGATATTCTCCCACGCTGCTTCAAGTGGTTCAAAATAAACGTTTTTGTTGGAAACCGATGCTTTATCCACTTTGTTGTCCAAGTAAGACCACAAATTCTCAATTGGGTTGAGATTGGGAGATTGGGAAGCCATCCGGGGGGTTTTGATCCGATTTGATTTGAAAAAAGCCGTTGTTTTCTTCGCTGTGTGCTTTGGGTCATTATCTTGTTGGAAAATGTAATTGGATTCCAGGTCAGTTTTCAGTAGCGAAACTTCCACAATGTACACTTAACAATGTACACATATGCAGTCATTATTCCCTTTATATGAGCCAAGCTTCCAACACCAGACCACGCAAATGCTCCCCATACCATGATATTTCCACCTCCGTGTTTAACCGTCTTTTAATGTATGCCTTTTCTGTCCAAATAACTCAAATTTGCTCTCATCCGTCAACAGAACTCGTTTCCAGAAGTCCACAGTTATTCCGGCGTACTTTTTAGCAAATTCCAGTCGCTTCCGTTGGTTCCGCTTGTTGATAAAAGGGCGCTTCGATGCCAAACAGCTTTTCAAACCGTTCTCATTAAGTCGCCGGCGAACAGGACGTCGACTTACATTGAGATCCATCGATTCCACAATATGCCCCGACGAATACTTCGGATTCTGCTTAGCCATTCGAACAATTCTGATGTCATCACGATTACTTGTCGCACGATGACGTCCTTGTCCGGATAATTTCCATATGTGCTGAACAGCTCCAACTGAGATCGAGTAGAAATTCCTTTTTCACGATCGCGAATCACCAAATTTCTAACATCGAGCGAAATCTGCTTTCCCGACATTTTTCACTTTTCAAATGGCGCAAACAAACACAATGGTGCGATGCGCACGCTTCCCGGAACAAGAACTGTCAAATATTACGCCGTGATGCCAAATCTTCAGATTTTGTTTTTATTCGATTGCTAAAAAATAAAATCTTAGGAGTGTTGATTTATTTTCTCCAAGCACAAAAGTGAGCATATATTTATTTAAATTTGTAACAAAAATAGCAGAATATTATAACAATTTTCATTCAGCTAATTGAATGCACCATGAGAAATACTTGAACTTTTCTGAATATACTGCTGAAATTGCGTGCAAAATAGCAAAAATATGATGTACGATGTACTTTTTTGGGTTGAGGGTATGATTTATTTTGTATTTTTGTTTACTGTATGAGTGACCTACGTTTTCGCGAATTTCAGTAACTTGAACTCAAATATGAGTAACTCTTACTCAATTTTGAGCGTTTTCATTGGCCGTGCATGCGGAATTTGTTTAGAAAGATATGTCAAGTGCTTGTTAAAATTGCAGGGGGTGGATTCATATGGCAAAGTGTTACAACCCTTTTACTGGATGCCTGACCAATGTGCAGATACGGTCAGCCCAGCTGTGTTAAAAACTCATTCACTTGGCGTGCTGGTGGCGGACACACTTGCGAATCAAGGCTGCCAACCACGGGTACTTAAGGGTCATGTACATGGCCCAGATCAGATTCCTATCGACTTGCTTTATTTCCTTGTTGAAGCTCCGCCATCATGAGCCCCTGTGTCTTCCTCTGCTGCGATGTCCTGCCGGATTCCAATCCAGCGCTTGCTTTCAGATTTCGTTTCCGCCCCGTCGAAGTGTGTGGCCGACCCACCTCCACTTTCGCTCTCGAATTTCTGTTGCCAACGGCTTCAGATGACATCGAGGATGGAGCTCGGCATTCGAGATCCTGTTGTGAGGCCACCAGGCACGAAGTAGCTTCTGAGTATTCTCCGTTGATACACACCACGTCTCGCTGGCGTACACAGATTTCACGTTTGAGTTGAAAAATCGGATTTTGGTGCGTTGACTTATCTGTTTGTATCTCCATACGTTTCGTAAACTCGCAAAGGAAGCCCTAGCCTTCTTGATTCGTGCACCTAGGTCGCTCTTGGTCCCGGCGTCCGACGCTATTTGGCTGCCAAGATATTGGAAACTTTCGACCTTCTCCATTGTTTGCCCTGCTACCGTAAAGTTGGAAGGGTAGCCCGTGTTGACATCCAACGATTTGGTCTTGTTGACGTTGATGTTCGCCAAGGTCATTGAGCTTACTCTGCATATCAAAGCACCAGCAGAGCAACATCATCAGCCAAATCGAAGTCGTTGAGATGCTCCATGATGATAGGCTGCCAATGCAGCCCACGGTTCGGTACACGGTCAATTGCACCCACCATGATCTCGTCGATTACGATGAGGAACAAGACCGTAATTTCAACTCGTTCAAGGCATTTTACCGAAAAGATGTTACGGAATTTTCATCGGCGTGACATACATTTATTCGGCGGCGTGAACCATTTTACTGCGGCGGCGCGCCGGCTCAATTTCATCGGCGCCGGCGGCGTATGAAAATCGTCGTTGGCGGCGGCGTGGCGCGGTGGCGCAGAGGTGTAGTTGAAACATGAGCATTTTTTTCGAAATCAAAGCATGACCAGAATATCAAGATAGTGTTCTTGCTATAGAGCATTTCAATTTAGTATCGACCCCTTCCGACTTGAATGAAACATTGCTGCCATGTTCGCTGCTATCAATGGTTGCATTTTTCATTTAAATGTGATTTTTTTTCTATCAATCACCCACGCACTCGCAGCATGCTTACCAGACCGCACCATAAATGTGAACGACCTTGAGTCGTTTTCGCGCACTGTTTTGGCCGTGACCTTTTCTTTCTTCTGCAATATCAGCGCCACTTTAAGGAACTCCTTCATTTCAAATCCGGAATTTTCCAGACGTGCGTACTGCTTCTCAATTTCCGCCAGAAGTTCTGGTTCGTGTGATCTGTCGAAGTAGGGTCACTCGCTGCCCTAACGTGGTCTTCTCGTGGTGCTCCTTCAGAGTCGTCCACGTGTCCTTCGCGGTCGTTTTGTCACGAATCAGTCTATATGGGCTCTCATCCACCATCAAATGAATCGTGGCCAACGTCTTCTCATCGCCGTCCCTCCAAGCGTCCGTCATCGGTGCCGGAGGAGTACCTGGTTCGACATGCTTCCAGAGCTGCTCCCTCCGCAGAAACGCTTTCACAGAGAACGACCATGCTTGATAGTTCGAATTGATCAACTTGACAATTTTTGCCCACTCCATCGCTTCGAGAAAAAAACAGCAAACTTTTCACTCTTAAATTTTCCGATCAGGAGCTTCCGTCTGGGTCCATAACCTATTCGAGGTTTCAGACGCAGGAATAGACTATTGGGGAGAAATAACTTGAGACATCTAGTCGAGTTGATGGTTGAACAATTAATGAATTAGTATAATATAGTGGTTGGAAAATACATAGCAACGGAATGATGTTGCATTTCCAATGCTTGC